TGAAGTGCAACACTCAGTCATTTGATTCTGCTTTCTCACAACCGCAACTAAAATTAGTTACAGAGGATGGGTGAAAACAAACAGAGGAACTCAAGGAGAGTGAATTAAAAAAAAAATCAGAGAGGAAGAAAAGTACATTGAAAGAATTAAAATCCAAGAAATGCTGCCACAACAACTCTGATGGAAGGAGGGTGGGCTGTTACAATGTCAGCTACCTTTCTGAGGATTTGTTTTTGAAACCTGGGGAGGTATTCAAGCACTACAGTGCTAGGTAACATTGCAAAAACTTGCATGAATGGATAAACAACATCAGATGTTTGCTTTTGAAAACCTGAGCTTCAGAATGGTGAACCAAATCTAGCAGAAATAAACAGAATGGATATAAGTAGACCCAACTGCACTCAAACCTTCACTTTAATCTAGGTATTTGAACTTTGCTGTGAAGTTGCATAAAAGAAATATCTTTCCATGGCAGCATACACAGACAAACACACACAGAGTATCAAAATGCAGATACTTGCTCCACGGTGCAAGTGAACATCTCCAGGTTACATATGCCGTATTTTCAGTTAGCTCTGACATTTTTCTGCCATGTATTGGCCTGCAAGATCAGTTTCAGTACATTCAATCCGATCAAAAGAATCCACATATTTCAGACTCAGATTTTTATGCTGCCCTTTAAGAGGCTTATACAACAAAGCATGAAGGGTTTCATTTATTTTTAAAAATGTTAGCAGGGTTTTTTTTATTTATTTCTACCTTCCCACATTTATTCCCCAGGCACTACAGAGTATAAAAACAATACTGTATGTGTATAGGATCATAGGGACTTACACTATCTAAAAGAGAGAGTGCCTCAAGTACCAATTGAGAAATCAGGATTTTAAATTTCCTGCCTTCTTGCTAGCATTATATAGCATATGTACTTGCAGTATGTACACATATATACATATATATATATGTATAAACATTTATGACTCGCTTAGTTGGATCATACCCACCTAACCTTTTCAACATGGTATTTTCAAAGTGTCATATTAAAGCCTGTTGACCAGCTTCATGTTTCCTGCTCATAGAACTCAAGCCAACAATCCATGCCAGACTGCAGTTAGCTAATTCAAAAAGAACTTGCAAAAACCATTACACAAACCAAGAGATGAAAATCTGAGCCTTTTTATTGTCCTGATGCAAACAAATATATTACCAAAATTAAAACACATCAGACAGATTTTGTATTGTTTTCAAAGCCTTGGGAGTAGGATTCATAGTAGAAGAAAGATGAAGGACATAGGTAATCAGGTATTTTAGAACAATTGTTTTCTGGCTGCAAAATCGCTATGACCTTCCGGACTCCCTGGCCAAAGCAGCATTACAACTGCCTTACTGACTTCACTAGCCATTAAGGAACTGGCAGGAGACTGTTTACTGTTTCCACAGGCGCTGACCCTATCTACAAGTACACCGAGTAACCAAGAAGTTGATCAGCCAAACTACTGTGCATGCCTACAACTTCTTATCATCCAAGTCTAGACATAATGCATCTCAGAAAACAATACGATGGGCACATCAGCCACCACATCTGTATTAGAGGAAAGGTGGTAGCCCTACCTTATTTTGAGACCACCTCACTCCATTAAAAAACTGTTTTTCACTTGCTTGTAACATTGCCAAGACGCAATGATTTCAGCTCAGACTTTCCATGCTGGGTCCTTGCTTCAGGCTTGTTTTGGAAGATTTAAGCCAAAACAGTTCCATCATTTCCGAGAACAAGGCTAAGAAAAAAGGTTTTATTTTGCCCCTATTTAAAAAATTCTTTGAAAAGCTTGGGCACTCCTAGGCTTTGGAGTCGGAACATGAAAAGTGTCAGGGTTTGGTCTTTGTGCCAGAACGGTGCTTTCTGTCAAGTCATTATTTTTTGAAAACCTAAAATTTGTAAGAACTCAGACAAGCAGGGCAAACAGTCTGGGACATGGACAGGATTAGAGGGAAAAAAATTGGACTGTCCAGAGCTGAGGAGTAAGATAGGGAATGGGGCGGGGGGGATGACAGGGAAGGGGGGGGGTGCAGAATTGCTGCCTACAGGGCAGGATAGATAAGACAAAGATGCGTCAGTGAGGAGGCAAAAGACACAAGGACAGGTTGGAGGAGACAGGACAAGAAAGGTCAAGCTTCAGCGAGGTTTGTTTCTGTTATGTTTCTTTATACTGCCTCTCCCTCCAGAGACTGAAGTGTAATCCCTGACTTGCTGGTTCCCACCACTCCTTGCTGTCAGGCGAAACATGCTCTGATGCTCCTCCACCTCTGGCCTACAATGAAGACAGCTGCTGAAATGAGTGTTCCTTGTCAGCTATTTCACTAGGTCCTAGGCAGACACATCTTTACAGATAACTAACCTAAGTGTTTATACAATGCTTTAGACACAGTGCTCCTTTATTTCCTTCTGTTGGCTTGGAAAAGAAGAAACAAATAAAATAAAGCACGAAAGGACCTTTTAAATTATTAAGGTTGAAGAGTTGGGCATGAGATTGCAAGGAAAAGCCAGAATTGGGTTCACTGTTCAACTTCATTCAAGCCTGCCTGTGAATATGACAAGCAGACAACTGGTAACTACACCGGTTTTTCACCCTTGCCTTATGGCAAGCAGACACACACTTAAACTTTGGCATCATTTGTCTTTTATATGCTACCTTCTCAGCTGTAAAGATATCTTGATATACTTTTCCATAATGACATGGACTTCAGGACTTCACCCATTGTCTTCCATCTACTATTTGTCTAAGGAAAACTTTATAAACTGATGGTGTATATACACAGCCATCGTGAAAACCATAAAAATGTTATACAAAGGTCAGCACATTATAGCTTGTGCGTGATTTATTATGTACCAATGGCATCTACTACATATGCAAAACTGCAACTTAATCCCTACTCTAAACCTAATTTAATTTTCCAATCCAGGAAAAAAGACAGTGTGAAAGAATAGGTTTTAAAAAGGCTAAGGTAGAACTTCACACCCCACCTCACTGCCAAATACATAGTTATTTGGCTAAGGGGTGTTTGAATTATGATATGCTGAACATATGCCAAGTTCTCTAAAGCTCAATAAATCTCACTTTTTGTGATATTTGAGAAATGCCTCCTCAACAGAATCATTCTGCAACTTGTTTCCATGGGAAAGAAGGCTTTCCCATCACAAGACCTGAAGGACCCACTGAAGGTTTTTGAGAATTGCCAGAGGCCAACAAACCCTCCTGCTGCAGAGCACTGGGTTTCTTCCCTGCTGCAGACCTTCGGGCTCAGAAGCAGTGAGGATATTCCCTTGACTTCTTTATTTCCCTCTGTGCTGCTTTCCCCATCTGCTACTGCCTACAGACAGACTGGTAACTACAGACATGAAAGCTGCAATTCATGAAAAGATTTCCATCCCAGGCAAGTTTCTTCACAAGTGTTTTAGATATACTAATTTCTAGGAAAACATAAAAATAGTTCCTCATAAATTCATATGGGAAAAGATTTTCCATGTAAATGTCAGATGCTAAAAAATCTGCCACCTACAAGGCTGTAAACCATTTTTAACAGTCATGCTCAGCTGTCATCACTACTCATACAGTGTATTACGTTATACAAGCTACTGAACCTTTTTGGAATTAATAAAGAAATACGTAAACAGGAGATGGCAAAAGTATGTTATAAGCTTGCCTTTTTAACCCATACCTTTTCATGATTAAAAAAAAAAGAGAAAAATACTTTTCTGCAAGTATTTTGGGATGATAATATGAGAGACTTTTCTATCATGCACTTGCTGGGCAGTAATAAAATTATTTTTTCTGTATCAGTTGAAAGGGAATTAGAAATTCTATTATGTTTAATGCATTAAAAAACATACATAAAAATCACATCAATTTTTTAAGGCATCAGGTCTCTGAGAGAAAACACTAGCCAACAATTAGGACTGAAATTCTCAGCGTATATTTCCCTTTTAACACAGGTAGGCAACTTTTTTTCTGGTCAACTTTTTCTTTTACAGTGTATTTACCTCAAAGAAACCAATTTTTTTTTTTTTTTTTCCAGAAAAGTTAAACTCAATAACTACTGCCATTTGAAAAATTACTTTATAGTGGGGAAAATGCTTAAGATGTTTGTCTGTAATTTAGAAATACTTGAGTTACAAGACAAGCTTTCATTCATATGTTCACAGTACTACTGCGCTCTGAAAAAAGGCTGGATTTATCTCAGTGTCATCAGGTAGCGATCCGTCTGGTCCTCCTTAGATGACCCACAGATAGTGAAAACCCATTACAGCAATCAGGGTAACTGCAGAAGTAGCACCTACACAAATTTGTGTAAAAGTCAGTCTTTGTAAAAAGAGTGGAGCTGAGGAATAACAGCAGCTTGAGAACTTACTCAAGAGGTGATGTGAAATATTTTGTTATTCTTATTAACTTGCTGAGATAATGAAGTGACCTATCCAACCAGACATTGCAAATACTTCAAGTCCATTCCTCTAAATTACACTGACTTCTGGTTTCGTATTTTAACCCAGTGGTTGAGTTTAGGAAAATAGGATCAGCTCCCCATTTAGACCAGAACTTACCAGTACTGACTTTTTAGATTAATTAAAATCTGTAACTGAGTACAGTGATGAGAATCACATAGGAAACAAACAAACAAAAAAGACTGAATGTGGAGCCTGCTGAGAAACCAAAACACAACCAGCTCTCATTGGAGCTCCTCAGGTGAAATCTCCACAAATAGTGCGACTACAGTTGAGGACACCAGAGCAACACTGCCCCATTTCTGGTAGGAAGCCCCTTTATTGGGGCTCCCATGGGAGCCAGGCTCTGAAGAAATACTCCACTCCCCACTGTACTGCCTGGGGAACTCTATTTCACTTTGCAGGTATAACTCACTTAGAATTGCAGATAACAAAGAACTTTGGGAGGAGAAGGCAAGGAAAATCTCCATCCAGAATTCAGCATATTTGAAGAGCTGGCTCTTACCTTGCAAGGCATGGGCTTTTTGAAGGAGATTTCAGCTTGAGTCCAAACTCCCTTTGGAGAGTCCAAGACAGACCAGATTTTCTCTTGAACAACATGATTCTCCTCAAAGATATAAACAGCAAGAGTGCCACTCATTTTGAAAAACCCATATAAGGCATAATAAAAACGCAGACAAAACTGCAAGTTTCCTGGCAGGGTCGGGCCATACAGACGTCCAAGGTACCCAGGCTGCGATGTAAACTTTGTGTTCGCCAACAAGTAATAACCTGCAAGACAGTGCAATTATTGAGTACTTCTAATACACACTTAGCACAGCTGATTTGCTGTTAAAGCAGCTTCCATTATTGCATCAGGCTTTGGTTATAAAAACAGTTGCTACTAGCAGGAAACTGATTATCACACTCTGTTTGAAAGGAAACAAGAATTTTTCTAAAAGCATCCCAGCTACTTCAAGCTAAACTGGCACATGGCTAAGTTACCAGAAATAAGCACTTTTCAAATTTACAGTGAAAAATTCTCTGGCCTGCTGGCCTCACTGGAAACCTGGTACTACTCCAAGACTGAAGAATGAAGGATGGGGCATAAGGCCTCTTATTGCCTGCACCAAGTGTAAAGAGTTGAGACTTTTGCACATATGATTAAGAACCATGAATACTCTACACAGAGATGTGTGAGTTTCAGAATTTATTATCAGGCCTTTCACTACATGCCTTCACTACACAACATTTCACATTTTTCCCTTAAAAATACCAACTATTGTAATCCTGGAAGAGCTAAGAGCCCATCAGTCCTCTATATTAAAAGCCGTGTGTTAAGCTACTATTGTATTTGCTTGCATATTTTTGTGGAATCTTCCCTTCAGTGACTACAGATCAGTATAGTGAAGATATTCTGATTTACGGCCTTGAGTGACTATTCAATAGGTGACTTTCCCCCTTTACATGTGGGGAGGCACAGCCAGAGTCCCAGATAGGACAGAACAGCGTACACTGATTTTTAATGGCAGGGAGTTGCAGTGAGGCAATCCAAAGAGTGTGCTGATGACATTATTTAACAGAGTGAACAATGATACAACAGGTTAACCTTTATATCCAGTTTGACTCTGCTAGTGAAAAGGAATTCTGATTTACCAAATCCCGTAGTGTGATCTCCTGCTCTATACACGTTACGCTTCACTTTCACTCTGCTCCATCCTGGGTCATCTTTGTGATCCTGGTAAAAATTACACAGATCTTCCTCAAAATTGCAGCCTGCCTCAGCAGGATTGAAAGGAGGTCCTAAAAGATAGATGCATATGTTCTGTTAGGAAGAGCACAGTATAATAAGCATAGGTATTTGAAGCACAAGGATGCCAAAAAATACTCATCTTTCTTTGCATTACAGAAGATAAGCATGTGCAAAGATATTACACATACATTCTGCAAAGTCACAATAATATCAAACTATCAATTTTCTATCGCAAGTGGGTGTTATTTTCTTACATTTTTGCTAGAGCTGGGAGGAAACCTCCTTCACAGTCCCTATAAAATATAAATAAGCTACAGATATTAAGAGAAGATTCCTCCTTCAGGACATAATGCACAAAGACATTCACATGATTTGTTTTCATCCTCCTCCTTCATTCAAAAGATATTTGGACAAAATGAGCATGAGTGTGCATGTGTGTGCACATGGGTGTGATATTTTCATTTCAGTTTCCAAGGGGATAACCTTCTAACATCAACATTTAATATTATTTTAAAGAACACTTTTTAAAAAACCCTTTTGTAGTCACGTGTAACGTGTGTGCATATGCATGCCATAAGTGTGTAAGTCAAATAGCTTTCGGTTCAGGTACTGCCTCATGGCTACTGACCTCTGGAGCTATGCCTCACTCATTTTAGCACTGCAGCAAAGAAAGCTGAACTGTTTATAGTGAGGTTGATTAAAAGCTAAGCTAAGCTCCCCAGCCCTGCTGATGGCTCCCTCTTGACCTGCGATGTGGAATTCATGGGTCAGGATTTGCTTTAGTCTGAAAAAATCCTGCTGGTGAATGGGTGCTTTTAAGTAAAACATTTCTACTTCTTCAAAAGCCTCATCAGTCACTCATACCAGGTGCTGGGGGAAGGAGGGGCACAACCCAAAGCCATCATGCAATTTTTGGCTACATCAGGAGCCAGGACGCTGTGAGCATCACTCTATGGCAGCATGCATGACCCTTCTGCACGGAGGCTAAGAGGGGCTTCCTGGCAAGGGCAGGGATGCAGGTGATCAGCTTCAGGAGAAGGAAAATCTTGGCATTGGAGAGATGCCTGTGGTCTTTTCAGCCTCAAATAAGCCAGATCTAAGCACTGCCCATGTCTCTTTCTCTGCCTACAGAGAAAAAGGAGGCAGCGCTGGCCTCCCTCCACTGCTTTCCTAGCTAAAGCAAACACAGTTGGAGCAATACCAGGTCCATGCAGCATTAAAGATTCACCCTTTGGTAAGAAAGTTTAATACTCTGGTACCTTTTCCCTCAGTTTGGCTAACATTGAGACCTTTGTTGACACAAACTTCCAGAAAAATAAGGAAAAAACTCAATGCTGTTATATACACTGCTGTGGCTGACTACAAGAATGAAGATCTCTTGCCTTTTAACATCTCTACATAAAACAACTGAAGATGGAAATAGGACATAAGTCTGAAGGATTAACCAGCTTTGTTGTAGTTCAACAAAATATAAAGCAAATGATTGGCATTCATTTCTCAAACAGAAAAAAAACCCTGAAATTCAGGGGTTCAAATTCAGAGTTAGTAGGCAAAGGTCTAGCTGAACCTATCAAAGTTACCGGTCAGAGCAGATCTGAACATGGGCCATGATAGCAAGACTAAATCAGGGTTAGGGCAGAAAATACTATAAAATTAATCGCACACCTCAACACATATAAGCCATCTGAAAATTAAAATGGAAAACACAGATGAGCACACAGCTCCATTCCATGGCGTACTGCAAACATAACTCAGGACTTTCGTTGCAAAACAAAGCAAAACCAGAACAGGCATTGAGGAGTTAATGAAACTACTAGATTTACTCAGCCAAGAGTCATGGATTAGTAACATATCTGGAATCTACCTCCTATTGATACTTGAGCAGTATCAGGTAAAGCTAGCAGAGACTCCAAGCAGATACAAAAGGGCAAAAACTCTCTTTCTCCTTGATCACTTCAAAACATTAGCCAAAAATTCAAACTTGAGACTAAAAGAATGGATGGACTCAGTGGGAAACCACTAATCTACTTTTGCCTATTGCTTACTGTTACAGTAAAACCCAAGCAACCAGTACACAGCTATTTAAGAGGCTGCATTCACAAATGATAAAGTCCTTTGTCCCAAGTGCCTCTACAGCAGAGGTCACGTGGATTCAGCTGACTTCTGCTGCTGTGAAAACCTAATAAAATCCTGACAGACACGCCACTCTGAGATGAATAATACCTCCTGGAAGAGCGAAGACAGGAAAGCAAGGCTCCTGTTTTGGCTCTGAAGAACACCTCAGGGCATGTGGCATGGAAGAAGATATTCCCTACATTGGCAATAATGAAAAGCCCAGGACATTTTCTTCCTCATACCATTACACCTGGGGAAATCCCCCTCTATTTCCATAACAGGCCTGCAAGTGGTAACTTGTTCAAAAGCTGGGGTGATGTAAATAAAGCATTCAGTCCAGTGCTCCTGTTGCAGATCCCTGGGGCAAGGTCTTTGGAGAGGAAGCATTAAGGACTGGTTTCTGGATCCAACAAATGGCATTAGTGTTGATCTGCTGTTTTGTTGCCAGGAGGAAGAGGAGCCCAATTGTGCTGGTCCGATGAGAAGGTAGCATCTGCACATCACTACCAAATATTGCAAGTACTGACAGATGGTTCAGAGGGGCAAAGCAAAGAGGGAAAACAAGGAAGGTAAATAGCAATAAGAACTCATACCTGTCTGATTGCTGCAGTAAACCGGAGAGAAAGAAATGTCATCAAGGGCAACATAACCTCCCTTGGCACTATTGAAAGCAACTTCAAATATTACCTGGAAATTATAATTGTTTGTTATTCATCTACCATATACACAACAATAATTTTGATACACATCTTCATATTACAGAATTCTGATCAGATGTCCCAGACAGACTCCAGGGCATCTCAGATAGCACTGCAGGTGTTAGGACAAATTAAATTATATCACTTATTAGGGATATACTTCAGAGCCTGACCCTGGCACCAGATCTTTGCCCACTCAAGGTCAAGGGAAAATCAAGGGGAACATAGCTCTTCTGCTGCTTTATGAAGCAGCAGTTTTAAAGATGCAGTAAGGCTACTGTCATGATACCATACAAAGCCAGTATTCAGGGTCATCAGTCTGTATTGACTAGAACTCCAAAGCTGCCTAAATATTACTGTATCTAGAATCTAGCTGGATCAAGAGCGAAAACCAAACTGTATGGATTACTCTGCTATTACAATATTAATTTTTACTGTTTTCTCTAAACATCCTCAGACACTGAAACCCATGCCTTGGCATCAGCTGGCAGGGAAGATATCCTTTAAAAAATTTAGGTAAGATAAGAACCAAAAAGCTATTGCTGTGTTTTGTTTACCACAAAAATCAAACAATGTTTGTACTTAGCCATTCCCAGTGGACATCACTTCCTCAAGTAAGTGGAGGACAGTCTATAACTCTTGAGGAAGTGTCTTAAAATCTCTCTTAAGTAACAAAGCTCTGAGTTACAGGAAAACTTTGAGAAAAGGTCTGAATTGCAGGCAACCCCAGGGACAAAACAAGGATATAAGGACAGATGCTTCCAGAGCGAGATCCTGTTCAGTGAAAGCAATGCCTGTGATGTCTCGCCTAGGGATGGGAGCCAAACTAGTAGAGCTGTGAAAGAATCCCAAGCGATCTCCTTTAGCCAGATGAAACAAAGAGGAAGACCTTCTTTGAAGCAACAGAAGAAATTATATGCAAGGTTTAATCTTATTTCTATAAAGCGATCTCTAAAATAGTGACTCTGTTGGATTACATAAAAATTCCTGGAACAGAATAAAGGCCCATCTAGCCCAGTGTCCTCTCCAACAGAGGTCACCTGCAGAAAGAACTGAAGACAATGACAAGTTATCAGTTCTTCCTCCCTCACATTGAATTCCTGATGGATTCTTTCTTTCCCATTAATTTGTCTAATAGTTTTTTTAACTGATCAGAATAATGGTATCCATAGTATGCTGTGGAAGCGAGTTCCACAGTTATGTGATATAGGAAAAATTTGTCCCTTTGTTTTCTTTTAAAACAGATACCTGGTAATTAAGAATTTGGAACAGCAACATAAACTATGAGAAAAAGGGAACAGTTAATCTTTTCTGTGCCATTCACAGTTTTTATGAACCTCTACCATATTCTATTTCAGTCACTTTTTCTACAGGCTGAAAAGTGTTATTTCATCAACATAACTTCTCCATACTTTTGATTATCCCCATCTCCCTCTTGTAGTTCTAGGATATTCTTTTTTAACTGAAAAGGTTGGAGCTGCATACTCTGCTGAACACAGGGTTACCCTGTGCATTCATCCAGTGGTACAACATCCTCTGTTTTGCTATTTATTCCAGTATAGTTTCCAACATTCCGGATGGTTTTATGAATGCCACTAAGAACTGAGAGGATATTTTCACAAAACTAACCACAGTAATGCCAAGCTCATTAATTAATTTCCATCTATAGTGCTAGGACTGTTTTTTCCCTTGCATGTTACTTACTTTATTAAATAAGTAATTCACTTACTTATCATTCAGTATTATGAGACCTTATCAGACCTAATCTCCTTTCCCATACCATTTGAAGTCTGACAATTCAAGTGGATGACTTGGTCAATGACTTTACAGAGTATAAAAGGACTATGCAACATCTGATGAAAATTAGCTTTACCCCTAATAATTCCTGAAAATCTGCAGGCTTACAGTGAATTAAAAAAAATAACTTATGTGGAGTTAAAGCAAGTAGAATGAAAGCTGATTTATTTGTAATCCTAGTATTAGAAGTGTATATATATAGGTATAAAGTGTGTCTGTGTATATATATATATATATATAAAATCACATATATATGTATGTATATATATAATATATTTGTATACATGTAAGTATATATGTGTATATATAATATATAAACACTGTTTATTTCAATCTTCTGATATTTATATATAATATATAAGAATATATGTTTTACATATATATAAAGATACAATGTATATATGCATGTATGTATATATACTATACATACACACACACACATTTTTATACATATGTATGTGTGTGTATATCTTTTTTAATACATACATATATATATAAAATGTATATCCTAAGATTTGGGATTTTTTTCAGTAAACACTAGGGAATAAAGCATTCAATTTGTTTCTGATACTCTGGAAATTAATTCTAGTAACCATAGGAGCTGATTTTCACACCTAAGGACTACTGTGCTACTAGGACCCAAGTTTGGACTCTTATCTTGTGAAAGCACAGAAAGACTGAATTGCAGGGTTGTACAAGGTAGAGAATAGAGCTCGAATATTTTTTTAATTTTTATTCTGTAGTGGGAGGCATGCATTATTTTATGGTACTCAGCATCCTCAGAAATGGATCATCGAGTCACAGAAATATGGGACTGAGAGAGCACCGACATTATTTAGTAGGAACTGAAAGACCTCACATTTGTAGGACTCTACAGCCTCCCAAGGTATTCTGATCAAGCACTTCACCACCTGACTTGATCTTTGCTGAAAATCAAGCACCAGTATGGAAGGAGGTACCTCCTTGATGCTTATACAGTGGACAAAGGAAACAACAGATCACCAGCATCTTTATAACCATCTTTCAGAAACTGGACAGCCACTGCCATGTTCCTGACTTAGCCTGAGTCAGCACTGTTGTCTGATGCAACCTGAAGTCGTAGCTGGCCCGTACAGGAACGATTGCTTTACCTCCATGGGGTATGGCGCACTGAAGTCAACTTCTGCTAGCGCCCAGTCTGCGCTCAGTGCACTGTCTGTTTTCCAGATCTCTTCATAAAAGCCACTTGTGTCTCTCAAGTAAACAGTAAAAACAATGCTACTCTCCTGCTTAAGTTGATAATAAAAAGATAAGCAGCCAGACATGGGGACTGTGGTCTTCGGTGAGATTAGCTGGGCCACTTCCTGAAAATGTTTGACGTAAACAGAGTCCACATACATGTAGTGACCTAAAAGTATAAAAGAAACTTGGTATAAGGACACTCTTTAATGAACACCACTTACAAGAAGTATCAGGAGATGGGCAGGGACTAGACATGTATCTCTACAACCTGGACAACAATGGTTGATTCCTAGGAAATTTTAGTAATTCTAAGAGATTTTTTTTTTTCTCCTTTCCTCCTATGTACAACCCAAGTTGTTTGGCTAAGATACCACTGGCAAAACAGTCGGTCTCAGGTCTTTCTTAAGTCTTTACTCAAGACCTTTATATTCAAGAAAGCAAAAACTCTCTGAATTTTGAGAGCCATTCATAAATGGAAAAACGTGTTACAATTGAGTGAATACCCTGCCTCCCAACAGCTCAGTATAGTATGTAGTCTTTTTCCAAGTGCAACTTTTACTGAGGCAACCCAAATTAATGAACAAGACTGTAAATAAGCTGTGTGTTTCCTCACATTTTCCTCACATGAACACTCAGCAGTTCATTTAATATATCAAATGAATTGCTAAATAACCTTTATTCTGCACATTTCATTGCTTCTATAATTCTGCTTGGTCTATCTAGGATTTGGTTTCTAAATGTTTTATCTTTACTGAATAGACTGTTTTTTTGTAAAATCCTTTAAAAAGACTTTTGAGAGATGTTAATAAACAGAAAAATGCATTACAGGTGAGTAGACTCCGTCCCCCTCAACAGCCAGTATGACCTGCAGGATTTTCAAAGGGTACAGCTTCTCAGACTTTGATTTTGGGAGAGCTATCTCAATTTAAATGGGACACATCCACCTGCATGGATATGCTGTGCATGTGTAGTTTTTCTTCTTCTACACTCCCAGAAACACAGCATCAAACAGTATCAGTTGACGAACGGAAAAATGGTTCTTCACAAGTAGAAAACTTAGAGGAGAATGAAGTGTCAAACTGACAGACTACTTCAGCATGGACACTGCAAACTGTGCCGTTAGGTTTGTATCTACACCACTACATTAATTAGCCAATAGTGTTCTCAAACATGGAGATGTCACTTCTTGCTTCACTCCAGTGGAAGGAGGGGAAAGGGCTTGCTTGGCTGTAGTCTCCTCCAGCCTGCCCACTGCCGGGGGACTGGTGACTCTTCAGCGGTACTTGCCTGAGAAGTTCTAGGCTTCATTTTTGCTTTGCAGTTCTACCACACTTCATTGCTTAATTATGATCTCCTTAGCTGATGCGCCTTCATAGCACACTTCTTGCAAAAAGAAGGCTCTTCTGTGACTTTTGGCTTCTTGGGGTCTTCTCAGTCAATGGTCAGCAGTGAGGGTTTGGTGTGAAAAAGGAAACACTGTGGCTACAAGAAAACAGATCCCTCCCAGTTGGCGATGTTTCCTATCACATTCAGTACTTTACTTAATAGGTAGAGCTACTGTCTGCTGTTGAAGTTGTGCTGAATTAAACTTCCATCTAAATTTCACCAGCATTTAAGTGCCATGGGGTGATGCAGGGCTGGACTGACACTCTGTACTCAACTCACACAATTGTGAAATAAATGAAAAGACACAGCAGTGTGAGTTAAGGAAAGAGGATCAACCCTGCTTTTCATGACACAATTCCCTGCACCATCACAAGCGTCATGTTGTCTGAGACGCACAGTGTGCTGCAGCAGCCAGATCTCCTGACCATCACCTGCCGTGGTACTTCATCCAACACTACATCAAAGGCTAAGCTATCCCCCAACCGTTCTCTATGACTATGTAAAACGTTCTCCTCTCAACAAGGTGGCCAGGACAAGTATTTCACACATGGAAGGTGCTGAAAATCCTCTAAGTCTTTACAGCATTCTGCCTCCAACGGACTGTATTAACAGCACCACATTTGACTGAAACAAACAAAACTCCGAAACTGTGCAATTTAACCTGAGATTCTCCAAACATGTTTCAATCCCTTAGCTTTCCTGCTCAACTTTCCTAATAGCCACTGGAAAGAAAACCCCTGCCATATGTACAGAGCAGCAGTACAAGATTTTAAAGCTTACTGTGGCCCATACTTTTAGAATCCACAGAAAGATCAATTTTCCCCCTTTCTGTCCAAAATTTTACCCTTATTTTGAGCAATTTTGAAGCCTAGCATAACAACTTTATTATAAAGCTTACAGGAAACTTCGTGTGAACTTCTGAAAATTCCCCCTATCTTTTTCTAATCCTTTTTTTCACATAAGTAATTCTTACCCCATCCAGTGCCAGGAGAAAAGAAACAACTCACATCATAATTTGCAGTATAACAGTCACAGGTGGATCACAGACTCAAATTTTCCACTATAGTTCTGTTCTACATTTGTTGCTTACCCAGTTCACTGTTAAGTGTGTGGTCTTTGGGCAGGATAGACTGAGAATTGCGAATGTTCCCTCCACCAACAAACCAGTTGACATTGGGGTTCCAGCGGTTCACAAAGCCACAAAGATGATTTTCTTCAAAGTCACATTCTGCAATTGCAGACATCACCAGCTGAGTGCACACATTTCATTACAGAAACTGGAAGAGAAGCTATTGCTAAGCACTGGCATCACTTTACATATGGCAGTGCAGATAACACCTGTATTTATAACACTGGATGCAACAATTAACAGCTTATAATAAATGGAAGCAAACTTAGCCACAATTTTTGATCAATTTCTGATAAAATTTTCCTTTCCATCCTGTTCGGTCCACTCTATCTTTTCATTATTTGGCAATATAGGGCTGCTGTAATTTAGAATCAAATAAAATTAATGTAAAATATACCACTTTGTAGTATTCAATAGTCAGAGCAGAACTTCCACTTATAAATCAGGGATGGCTAGAAGTGAAGCGGGAGTAGTGTTTCATGGCGGTAATGAGACTGCTGTGTTTCCTTCACAGAGTCAAAGTATTGTGACAATTCGGTTGGACTCCACCAGAACTCCCTAGAAATGCAAAGGTCTCCCAGCCTCCTAGCCACTGAAATTTTTGAACTTCATTAGCTGTTTTTGGCAAATGTCATGAGCAAATAGCTGTAAGTGTAAATATCAACAGAGTTTTGACTCTGCAGCCTGGAAGATGTCACTGTAAGGAAACATGAGCATGCAGACAGCAGAAATAATGTCACAGCTGTTACTTTTAATATTTGCAGCCATCTAGTTTTGTGAAAATATAACACTTGTTCCTGCTTGAACAATAAATAGCTTTAGAATGAATTATTGTATGTGAAATGGCTACATATATCACAGAGATGGGTGAATAAAAACACGTATTAGTGTGTGCAACCTTAGCTTAAAAAATATCTACATCAAATATGGCAGCCTACTTCTCAATGAGGAAAAAGCCATTGTCTTTCCTCTAAACCCAGACCGTTAATTCAGTTTTAAAACTGCCAACAAGGCATTTTTTTCTCTGCAGAGAATATGAGAGCTGAGCAGACAGTACTTACCGATACAATACCCAGGCGTTATTTTAATTTCAAAAACTGCTATACTGGCAGATTTATCTTGTCTCATTTCACCTTCCAGTACAATCTGCGGAATATAAACCAAACTGTGAATTTCAGGGTTTCAGTATTTCTGCTATCACCCTGGACATTCAAACAGGACAAACAGGAGAACAAATTAAATACATGTGGGGGGCTCATCACCCTTACAGTCAGGAGAGGTGCTTTTGCTGGAGGAGCTTGGCAGAACGCATTAAAGATGGAGTCAGTGCCCTTCCTCGAGCACAGGAGGCACACTGAAGGACAATGAGGCAAGGCCAAAAAACCCCACACTTCACGTAAGAGTACGGGTCTCCAGATTCCTCAGCGGTGGCTATACAGGACGTTATCGTGAAGGACGCGATGCGGCGGGGTTTGGGTAGACGTACCCAGCTTCCGACTCCTCCCAGAAGGACGCAGAGGACAGGGAGGAAGGAGGGCAGCTGCAGACCCGGGATCTGGGAGGTCCCGAATCTGCCCTGGGATGCCAGCAGCCCCGCGGGGCTGCCGTGAGGAGCGGTACCCTCACCGCACGGCTCAGCCGGCCGCCCCTTCCCATGGGCCGTGCCAGACGTTCGCTGGGAAGAGCACCGACTGCCTGGCTCAGGACAGCTCAGGTCACTGACTTTAGGGACAGAGGGGTCGACTGACTCACACCCTGCCAGCCCTAGAGGTGAAAGCCGAGAACAGGGCCCGAAAGGCGGTCCCCGTGCACCAGAAAGCCTGCGGCATCTTCCAAAAGCGGGCTTACCTTGTACTTCTTTGTGCTGTTCGTTAAATCTAAGCTAGCTATGAGCCAGCTGTCTGAAGGCTCCTCGGCTGACCACAGCAAACGGTCAAAGCTCTCTCCTTCCTGCCTCAGGTACAGGTTGAGCCTGGCGGGATCAGGTGAAGCCTCTGAAGTCGTTGCTATCTGATAAATCAGTCTGACACAGCTCCACTCCTCAGAGTACAGCTCAGGGCTGGACAGCACTGCTTTCTCACCCTCATAAGATGTATCCACAGAAATGTAATGTCCTGGGAACAGACACGCATCAGAATAACAAATGTCAGAGGCTTTGCTTTTGCATTCCTGGATAAAAGTACTTATTTATAAAGGACTAGTTGTTCTGGGGCTAGGCCAGGAGATTCAGACCGCCACTCATTCGTTAAGCAAGTCATTTAACCTTTTGATATCCCACCATACCCACACAAACATCACTTCACGTGTCTCGCAGCCTTTTTAATGACAATTTAAAAATTATTTTAAATCTTCAGAGAAAGATGTTCTATCAGTGTAAAGCAGATTATTAAGTAAGTATTGCCCTCCAGAACTGATAGTTGGACAGACGATTTGATTGACAAGATAATTTACACAGGCAGGAATATGCTGCAGGACTATTTAGTTGTTTTACAGATCAGAACTTTCTAACTTCATTTCTACACTTTAGATTTTAAAGCAATACATAAAAAACACATCACAGCCAAAAACTTCTGAAGCATTTCTGGTTTCAAAGATGACGACTAAGTAGTAAAACTAACCTGTACAAATCTGCTGATTCAAAAAAGTGCTAAATGTAAAGCTACATTTAAACACACCAGCACTCTCAATGGGATTATTTCAAAATTACTCTCTGGATGGATATTTTAGGAACAGGGCCTAAAACATAACCTTCTCTATAAAAACAAAAGAAAGGATGCGATGACAAGCTAAAAAATGCACAAGGAGGCAAAAAAAAAAAAAAAAAAGCCAAAGAAACAATGTGGAGAAAAAGGAGGCATCAATAAATAAATCAGAGCAAAACAGAAGCTTGGTCCTAGAAGTTTTACTAACACTAAGTTTTTAATCAAAACTAAGATCAGGAGAGTAAAATGAGATACGGGAGTCACAGAAACCTGGAATGCAATGACAGAAACAAGTGAAACAGACAGACAAAGAAGATTTAAAAAACAAACCAAAACAAAACAACAGAACAACAAAACAAGCTAGGGCATCCATGTCTGAAATATCATCCCATAGATGATCTGGAAAATGATCTTCCTAACCTAGTGGCAATATACATCAGACAAAACCCACTCCTGATACTAATTCTCAGCAGCTAGGCTGCAAGCAAGAGTTGGAAGAGCTATCAGGGACTGTGCCAAGTCAGTCCTTCACCCAGCAGCACATCACACCTATCCTCTTTAGCCCTCCCCAAAGCATACATTTTTTCTTCTTTAACCTCGTTTCACTTGACCACAGAGCCTGTTCTCAGTTTCCACACATATGTAAGCACTTGCTTAACTTGACACACTCTCCCCTCCCAAATTCTGCCTGAACCCTCCAACTCTACCAAGCCACCCTGGGGCTGCTTCCTAGGAGCTCTCCTATTGCCCTTTCACAAGTATTCTCTCCAATGTGAAAAAAATCACCTGCATGGACAGTCACTGGCTCCCCAAAGCAAAGAGCAGGTACAGATCTTGTCTATGAGGTTCCCAAAGGCCTCTCCCATACCCCGCTCCGGCAAGATGCCAGGAGCAGGCAGCAGCTCTGACAACACCTGATTCCTTGGACAGCGCACGTTACAGCATCCCACTGCATCTGCTCCCTCTCCCACCTGCAGACACTGTGCACAGCAACCCATTTGTACTGCGCATTTTTGTTTAACAGATGTAAGATAAGTGGTTGCTGCTTTCTAAGGGGGTAGATGCAGCCCTAAGCAGTGTAAGGGGCTGTGTAAAGACAGAAAAGCTGCATTTTCTTTCCCTTTTTAGGGAATGGAATTTTTTTTGCCTCTTACTGTAATTTCTCTTTATATCTACTGTGTCTGGTTTTAGTCTCTTGGAGGAATATAAAAAATCACTGGTTAAGTACAAGTTACTTGTTACTGCAGCAGCATATGAAAGAAAAATAAACACAGGAATAAATATTTTAAAATAGGCACCTAATGTGCCTGCCAAATACTTAATCTGCCACTTTGTAAAATGTGAGCGCATAAAACATCCATTTGCAAACTGGTATCACGTTAGTTCACAAGAGTTAGCAGGCACAGCCTTTTTTTGCTGGCATGTTCTAGTCCAAGTTATGCATGTTTTTTCACATGCATGGAGGGTAGAAGGAAATTACCAAGGCTCTATCACAAGTTGAATGCTTCTCACACATTTGTTTTTAATTGATGTAAGTGGCAATATCCAGTTCAGGTGAATAATCTGTGGGTTTAGGCTAGTCTGAATTTGGATCGTTTTGCTTACAAAGAAACCTACAATTCAGAATCCATGCCTACAAATTTCAGTGTAGATTTCAGTCCTATTTCACTCTGCACTTCATGAGAAACCTCACAGGAAACTGAGCCTTCTTATAATATTCGGGGGGGGAGGGGGATTTTGCAGGGGTTTTCTTCAGAAATAAATTAGTGTCAACATAGGAAAACACATTCACATGAAGACCTCAAATTACTAGCTATGAGGCTTAAATGACCGCCTGGCTTTAAGACTTAATTACAAGTAGACTAAGGTTCTTCTACAAATATAGTGATTTAAAACAAAACCTCTTAGATGTTCCAGTTGGGATGATTATGTTACTACAAACTTGACTCTGCATTCTCTGTTTGCTGTACACTTGCTCTCATTTGGTCTGATTCCCCACTGATGTAACAGCAAGGATCATGAACTCTCTTTTTAATCGTTTTTTTGGGGGGTTGCTTTTTTTATAATTTGACCTATTTGTTGAGTCTCCAGAAACAGAGTGTTCTCACCCCAAACCCACTAGTCATTTTAGCATGTTCTGGAAGTTTAAATGTGTGATTGGCTCCACTAAAATCAATGGGAGCACTGACAGAGAGCTTTATGTGTAAGTTTAAATGCTTTGCTAATCAGGATCAGGGAGCCTGGCACTTTGCAGTATCAAGCACAGAAAATGCTAATGTTAAACTTCTTTCAAATGAATGCTGGCATTGACTAAATGGCCTTTATACTAAACTGTATTTCAGTAATAGCAACGACATGTGCTATTGCTGCAGAAAGGAAGGTCTCACAATGCAGACGTCAAGGACTGACACAGGGCAATTGTGAGAGCAAATCAATGCGAAGAGAGGGTTCCTTGGAGTAAAGAAGCAGACAACTTTCCACACTTGTTTGTGGGAGTAAACAGAAGGATATTTAGCAGTCTGTGGAGAATTTGATGAATGCACAGTGCTGTAGCCTCAAATCTCTCATTAAAAATACAACATACAGCTTCATTTTGCAGCATGCCACACCATTTTTTTCCTCAAAATCCTCCTCCTCCTCCAAATGCCAATAGCACTTAATTTATAGCAGTCATTCAGAAGTTATCAAGAGAGGGCTACTCCTCAGAATCACAGGAAAGCAAAAAAGGTAGTCACAAAATGCTAGGAAAAGCCTGATGACACAGAAACACAAGCATACAATTTCTGGCAATTACTTGCTCAGGGGGCAGATGCAGCCTCAGTGTAAGGGGCTGTGCAAATACAGGAATGCTGCACTCGCTTTCCAGTTTTAGGGAATGGCATGTTTTTTTGGCATTATGGTGAAGGCACCATACAAGCTTCTTCACAGACAACAAAAGCCAGAGACCGCTAACTACTTTTGATTACTAACAGCTAGCAGTTCCCTGGTGAAGGCAAACACCTACAGCCAGGAGAAGAGATGGGAGAAAGGGGACTCGCAGATGTATTTTCCCTCACCACTCACTTACTACTCAGGCTGGAAAGTAATGAACTTTTTACCCATATTCCTATAATGACTTTTTACCTACTGTGTAACTTCACTGTCATCTCCTTGACAGCTGAATCAAACTGCACAGGACCAAGCATGTGTTCATTTTACATTCCTCCACTTCCAAGTAAAATATTGAGCCCAGGGGGGATTAGGACCCAGTGTTTCAAACCTATCCCTCCTCAATGCAACTATGCATTGTGGCGGTAAAACTCACAAAACGAGACCTTTAAAATCTGTCTGTGTGCATGTCTCTCATTTTGCTGCTCTAATAAGCAGAGTCTCTCTCAATTACATACAGAGTCTCTCTCAATTACAGTTGGTGATACATTGGCTCTATGAGTCATTCACCCAAATTTTCCAAATCTATATTTAATTTTTTTTATTCACTTACCACATAGGAATGAATACATCAGTCAGCAGTAATTATATTGTAATTGTACTGCTGGCTTAGGGGAAGGGGGGGGGGGGTGAGACCAGCAATACTACTTTTTCCCCAAAAGAGTGCAGAAGCTACACTGATTGCTTTCTCTGTACGTAACACAAGATAAAATGGCAGACACTAGCTAATAAATTAAACCAAATTCCATTGACAAAATTAAGAAAAAGCAACTGGGATAACTAAAATCACCAGTTAGCTTTTCAATGATATATTTCCTCTGTAAAAATATGGAAGTGTAACCACAGACATGTTAGACCCTTTGTAGGGTTTATATCAGACACAGCTATTCACTTAGTTCAGCAACAGTGCAGCTTTACAAAAAGAACTCATATAAGCAGTAAGCTCCAAGAGAAACAGTATTAAGGAAATATGAAGCAGAAAAAGTTTGGGAATTTACATTTGATTAGGCATTCAATTATATGGAAAATTTGTGAGAAATGTCTTAAAGTTGCCAGTTATATTTGTATTTTCTTTGTACTTCCCATACAGAAACAGGAAAGAATATTACCAGGGTTTCTTAGGACAAAAATTGATCTACTGATGCCTTGTCTGGAATCTCAGTGTCTGGATTTCAGGCCATGGCTCTAGGGTTTTTTTTTTTAAAATTTTTTTGCCAAAAAAAAAAAAAAAAAAAAAAAAGGCAGCCAAGCAGTTCATTTTTTAGGACATATTAAGTCTTCTTACATCTCCAGGACAAGTTAGTTAAAAATATTAATGATACAGCCAGTGAGACATCATTTTGCAAGTGACGTTTGCACATGGAAGCTATCCCTGTGTACACACAACGTTCAGAGTTTGCGTTAAGAACACAGAAACTCTACCAGCTACCTCATATGAGATTTTGGGTGAACCTAGGAGAATGCTTGTGGCACAGGATAGGAAA